TCTTCCCTGGCCAATCAAATATTTGACGTGTTCACGCACAAACCATTCCGACTGCTGAATCTCTACGGAAGCACAGAAGTAGCGGGCGACATCACGGCAGTGACGTTCGACAGCAAAGAAGCCATTGAGCGCACTGCCTTCCAACTGCCAACGGGTGGACTCGTAGTGCCTGTTGGCACTCCAATCGACAATAACGAGGTGTACGTGGTCAGCGGCGACTATGGCACAGAGAATATGACGATCGCCAGAGAAGGCGTTGTGGGAGAAGTGGTGGTGTCAGGTGTGGGTGTTCTTACGGAGGAGCCCATTGTGAATTCGAGCAATGCAGAGTAAGAAGGATGCCAGTTGTGTAACTTGGATATGTACATGTTCAAGAGATAATTGGACATGGCCAAATTGTCGAGGAATTTGACATGGTTAGACAGTGTGATACACACTGCCACGCTTCAGTCGCATTGACAAGCCGTGATGTGTCACAGGTCAAATGAGGCAATCCAGTTCCGTTACATTCAAGCCATCCGTGTGCGGCTTTATCAAAGCCGTGAATATGTCTTGACATATCGATTAAATCTATGAGTGACAATAGAATGTGAGAGTAGTGAGATTTGCAGTTTAATGTAATACTGTCACTGCCAGAGGCTTGACTTGGTCGCAAACATGTTCTCAGCAGTCAGATCGTTTAGTTATTAGGTGATGGGAAGGTAAGCAACGTTGTAGTGAATCGTGTTGATACAAGTCGTTGAACTTGGTTATCGCTGACTCAGACACACAGTCCCCGTATTAGGTGAGTGACCACCAGCCATGTAGGACCGTGTGCTCACACGCCGGCGCATGTACCTCCCCACCTCCTCATCCAGACTGCTGTATTGGACAACAACCTGCATTAATCTACCGGGCACGACGTGGAAAGGGGGACAGTGTGTGGGTGTGAATGCGGCGACTCTGTTCACTAACGCGAATCAACACGATTCACAACAGTGTCTGAAAAAGTGGGCGGACATTGGGAGATTTTAGTTGACGTGGTTTTCGGGCAAAACGACGAGAGACTACGTCTACCAAAATGAGGCTTGATTTGTTTGCCTCACATACTTATCTTGATGAGGGTGGCGGGACACTGGATGCGGAGTGGCAGTGTCCACCACGCTTCAGTGATGTCGTTGTGGGAGCGTCGTCTAATACGTGTCACATATTTGTGCTTGCTGATTTATTAAAAAAAAGCCTGGCAGGTCTGTAGCAATGACATCGGTGCCCAATTTCAAACCAGTGACACTGCTCGAACCGACATGACGAATAAACAAGATTGGTCCGGTTTCTACCTTCAACTCTGTTGTGCTAGCTGGGTCTCAGTTAAACTTGCTTCATTTTGGGTCGCTGAATGTAGAGTGGCATTTAACAATAATATCTTCTCTCGTACAGGCAAACGCGCACAATCCTTCCAAATCCTTTCGGCACACATTCACGCTTCTCTCAGATCTACCGCACTGGCGACATTGGATTCATCTGCCCCAACACTCGCATGCTCTACATCACTGGTCGGGTGGATGACATGGTGAAGATCAATGGAGTGAAGTTTTGTACTGGAAACATTGACCAACTGTTCAGCCGACTCAAGCACCAGGACGATGTACTTTCGGGGCTAAGCACTACCGTGACCATTGCTCTGGAGAAAGGAGGGAGCGGTGCGCGTCTGGTCTGCTTCTTCCAGCGCGACGCAGCTGCGGTGCGTGGATTCACTGCCTTGGATCTCGACATGGCCGTGAAGAAGCACTTCTCATCTTTCATCTCCGTGACCTTCGTCGAGGTACGCACTTTGTCCAGTATGGCATCCTGTTTTGTCTCATCACTGCACGAAAACGAACAATTCTGACATGCTTTGATGAACGCACATGGCTGCTGAGTTGTGTGACATGATGCGGTCATTCAGCACGTCCGTGCAGCGAAAGTGTGTGAATGTTCAAACAAGCGAACTCGTTTGTTTGACTTTGTGCTCATTGGGAAATATGAGCATTCAAACCCCAGGAAGTATTTTGACGACTGGCAGCGAAAACGAACTGCTTGCTCCAAATCATGATTGACCCTTTCTCAGTCCGTCACAAACTGAATGCCGAATCATTCTCTGTTGTTTGCTTTGATGAAATTTGCTTTAAAGATACACCAATCTTTCTCTCTGAGCATTGTAACCAATAAGTAAATGTGCACTGATTTGACGGAAACAGACAATATTCTGACGCTGTTCGTTGTGTCTTGCGGACCAAGAATCCTGTAGTGACCAGCACACAATTATTGACTATGGTGTTATTGTTACGGGCGATTGGAGATACTAGTAAGCAGACAAGTTGCTGATATGTTGTGACGAGTGTCAACTAGTTGTGGCTTTGTAACAGTTGTAATGTGTTTTGCTGCATTTCCAGGTGCCTTCGTTCCCAATTCAAGCGCAGTCTGGCAAAATCGATAAAGTCAAATTAAGGCGCGATTTCCAGCAAGGCGTCTTCTCTGACATGAAGCCTGCCCACACCAATGGCAAGCAATCGGAATGCGAGGACACCTCGGGAGAACGATCACTGATTCGTGGGTTATTTGCGAAGCATCTTGGACTGTCGGACGCAGCGAGGATGAAAGGGGAACCACGCGACGACGACGACTTCTTCCTGATTGGAGGCGATTCAATCACGGTAAGGTGGCTTGTGCAAATGTCACCTGTAGAACGGAGATGGGGTTACATTGGCTGTTGTTGTATCGGTAGTGTGTCATTTGGTGAGAATGAGTGGGAGCGGATGTGTCAGAGGTCAAGTTAGCACACAGCATCAAACCACACAACAGTGGTCGTCTGAAGAATGAGCAGGAGTGGTGTAGTCACGCCTAGTTGTTCGTGTTTTAAGTAAAGCAAGCAGCACCTAAGACCACATCTGCAGTGGTCCGCTATGCAAAGTGTGCTTGAATGAAATATTACATTCTGTTTTAATCTGGAGCATTGCAAACTCGGACCGCTTCATTTATATACGTCTGGCTAAACAACAACGGTAGGTAATTTGAATCAACTTCTAAAAATGTAAAGCTCCATTAAATGAAAACTCAAAATTGAAAGTAAATTAAAATGGCTCTGTTCATATAATAATTGTCAACCTGGTAAATGTCCACATGTTTTATCCACTGACACTCAATGAAATCGTAGGTGTTGCGAATGCAAAAGGTTCCATTGACGAAACTTAAAATTCGACTAAGTTTGTAGAATCGCAAACAGTTTCGGAATAGGCTTTTATTGTCAAAGTAGGATAATTAAATGCTGCATTTTAGTTGCATAGAGTGACAATATGTGTAGGCTTTAACAGAAATCGTTTTCATGCGTTTTAGGCTGCTTTAATTGTCTCCGACTTACGACATCTTGGCCTCCAAGTCAATTTAACTCATTTTGTTCAAAATCGTCGAATTGGAGAACTGTTAGATGCGCTGTGCAGCAATCGGAATTTGTCAAGCCAGGCTCCATTCAGCATCAAGAGAAACTTGTTTATTCATGAATATCAGCCTGGGAAAACATTTGCTACAAACTCGGACCTCGATGCTCTGTGCAGAGACACCATTGTCAAAGTGGTTGTTGAATCGTACATGAAGGCAGATGCAATAACACAGCTACTAGATCTTAGTGAAACTACCCTTAAAAAGGTTGTTTTAGGGCGTCTGTGTCAGCTTAAAACATTTCCTGGAATGGTGTATTTGGCGGGTTTCACTCAAAAGAACCCCGACGGTCCTCTAGAGCGTCTGCTTTCTGACGTCTCAGCCGTGACCTTCCTAATGGAATCCGGGGTCCCCTCAATCCCCGACATTGATGACCCAAAATACCATCTAATCGAAGCATTCTACGACGCCTGTGGTCTTAAGGAAGACACTAATCACGCCATAGAGAGATGCATGCGCGTAACGCTAGCTAGCGCGCTTCATAGTACAACGATGGGACAGGACAGACTTCAGCTCATTTTACTGATGGAAAGACAAAGTATTGAGTCGGCAAAGAGGTTGGACTACACTGTAATTCGATCCATCAATACATCAGTGGTAACTCAGGTAAGTATGTACTCGGAAATGTTTGTTATTGTGCATTTCTTTGAATTGATTTTGCTAAACCGTTCATATCCTGCACATATTTTCCTCACTGAAAATCATGCATCTGATGTCCAAGCCTGATATCTAGCATACTTGGCACATTGGGTGAGTCGATCATTTTGTGCGCCCACGCTATTTCATTTTGAGGGCAACCACAACCTACAGTTGTGAGGACGAACGGAGTTTTTTTGAAAATGAGATGCAAATATTCCACTCGTGATGCATATTCCTGCCGCTAGGCAGCAGGAGTGATGCTCAGGCCAAAACCGATTAACTAAATAGTTGCTGGTAGCAGTTAGCAAGCTTGAAATTACGATCTCTAACTTGATGACAGATTGTTACGGTAATTGCGCTAATGACGATAGAAGTAGACATGATGTAAGCTCTAGCACCAAAGTCTTGCACTACGCCTTGGATTTTAGAATCTGATACAGGTTTAAAACGTAATCTCCGTAAGGTTAGTCATAGACTTTAGTAGCAAACACGCTGTTATCGGTTCACGCACAATTACGCGAGCAAGCAGTAAAAGAGACGAGTCAGTCAAACAAGAGGGCTCCATAAATTAAAGAATAAGTAAACTGGATTCCTTGTATTTCATTCATTGATTGTAATTTCAACTTTGACATTGTTGCACTTTACTTTCAGGCCATTGCTGAAGAGTTGGGGTACGTTAACAACTGCGAAGTGGATGCAGTCAAGTTTTTCGAATCCTGTGGCTTCACGTGTGACAAAAAAAGCCTGCCATGCAAGCTATCTACGAAGAAATTAACGTCTGGGTGTTAATAATTTTCTGTCCAAGAGAATGAATTTGATTATGATTTTCCGCTATCTCTGAATACTCACCCATGGTTTGCACAGATTGAACCCCTATTTTAGGTGAGCAACCAATTATTTGAATTGAATGTCTACTTTCCTAATTCCAAATGTAACACATTTTTAAAGTGCTGATCTACTCCAAAGGTAATGACTTAACTTACACAATGCTTGTGGTTATCACGGTGAAAATATTTGATGGATTCGGAAATTGCATTTTGTCTGTCATTCAACAGAATTTTATCATTCAGCACCATACACCTTAAAATTCCACACAGCTGATTTCCAAAGTAGAATGCAGAATGCAGAGAAAGGCCGTCCATTCAGAGAAGCATGTTCTAGAAATTAAAGGCTCTACAGTGTTGGCAGTTAAGCGCTCCTCCTGAATAGATATAATGCAAAGGCACTTTGCATAATTGCGGTGTTCAAAGGCTGTTTATGCAAGTAGAGTTTTAAGCAAACCCTTAGGGTAGCAGACAGAGGACTTCGTCTCCAGAAGCTACCACTGACAAGTTCGGTTGGTTGGTCATGCAATTGGTAAATATTGGAGATAATAGTTTGGAGATGATATTGTGATTTCTAATCGAATGTTGGATGCTCCTCGTGGTTTGTTCTCTTGCGACCAGGTTGCAAACAAATAGGTTTACTTTCATTGTCTTCTTTGACATCGAAATTTCGTGAGTTCACGATGGCACAAGTCACACTTCCTGAGGTAGAGGTTTTCATAGAAAGCCAATTGGCAGTTAGCAATAGAAGTAACTGACTCATTTTTGCGCACCCACATTCACTAATTCCTGTAACTAATACGCAGGATGTACAGATCGCAAAAAAGGCTTATTTGCACTTTCTATTCATTTCCTCAATTGTAGGTAGCCAGATTCTGATGATGCTGCCGCTATCTGCGATGCAGACACCAGCCTACACTCCTCGATTACTCAAATAATTTCATAACCTGCTTTCAATTCTCCCACAATAAAGCCCTACAAATATATTTACAGTGAATCCAATTCATGTCTTTCCTTAGCAGCAGTAATGATTGTACTACTGATCGACCAGTCATGATAATATACGGTTCCTTGTTTGTATATATAAATGATTATTATTCACTATCGACTCACACACCGACAAACTGTAATGCGTGCATCCGGGGTCAATGAAATGCTACACTCAAACGCAAATAAGTGCAGGGATTCGCACATGGGGTATTGATTCAGATTATGCCACCTTTCTCACAAATCCAATGCACTCTCATCTACAACGTCACTTAACTTGACTCAATGAGGTACATTTCTATTTAGTCTTGATACCTCAGACGAAACCCTCATTGACCTCCAAATACTTTATGAACACGGATAAGTGTCCCTACTCACCTGGTCACTCAAACACACGACGCTACTAGTGCCTAATTTCTCACACTTTAATGATGTTCATAATTACTAGAGAGCCAAACGTATCAGCATAGCCTTTCAGGCTGACAGACGTGTTTGGGGGAATGAGAAAGCTGAAGGCTCGATGGTTCATTAAGACAGTCTATCGCGCTTTGTGCTCATGTTTTGCGTCTGTCCATGTGTTTCAATTAAGAATCCCCTTAACATGTTCTGAATGAGGTAATAATTGCATTGTTGAATTTCAATTTTTCAGTTAGAATGGTTCTGAATTCATTCATGCGAATTAGCTATTCCAGGAAATGTTAAGACCGCGAGAGGTTAACCGAAAAGTAGCGAGGGGTAACCGAATGCCAATTCAGATCCCCAAATAAGGCATATTATTCTGTGAAAGATTTATTTTTAAAAGAACTGCACTATTGTGCTCTTGAGGGATCCTGATTGGGCCTAAGGCAGGATGGAACACAAACCATTTCAAAAGTCGTGAGAATGGTAGAACAGGACTATTTATGATGAATCAGTAGCAATTCCCGATGTAAAGTAGGCTGAGACTGTTAGCTCGGTTCTTTGAAGCTAAATGGCAACGCTGCATCCATTGCGGGGATTTTGTGTTCCACTACTCAGGAATGGCGTTAATCCTGTTTGAGCAACCACTTAATCGTCCTGATAACACGCAAGATTCGATCACAAAATTAGTCGAGTCATTCCCTTAGTTGAGAGAGTTCTAAAGCAATAAAGTCGTGGACTGCAGCAAAGAACGGGAGATGTTTAAACCATGCAATGCTTCAAAAACAGGAATCAGATGTAAATGGGTTGCAACTTGGGTGTTGAGAAGACTAGTACTGAGGTGGAAACTGGGTGCGTACAAATCAAACAAAGTGGCCAGTCAAACGTGAGGCAGTATCTATCACATTTTACATAGAATCACTGGCATTTTCACAACGAGTAGGCATGTGAACGGTTCTGACACATCACGTCTGCTTCGATCAAATTCACTTTGCTTTATCATAAATTACCACCAAAATACAAGTGAACCTAGGCACCTGCTGGAAGCCAATGTGTCTTGCAGACATCCGATTTTTACGGCCACGTCCCGTGTATTGATGGTCTCATCAAGAAATATCCGTCAGTAAATGTGACTTAAATGTTTGCGCAAAAAACAACAGAAATCACTTCGATTCAGTCTTATGTAAAAGCACTAATTTAAGAGTTAAAATCTGAAACATTGTGAACATCCGCTTTGGTTAATTGTTTACAACGGAACTTAGCTGCTCGTAAAATGCACTGTGACGAAATTGAATGAAAATGAAGCAGCAGATGATTTAGACACTAATTCCTGTAATTACTTACTAATTTCCTCTGGGTAACAATTTCAAATTCTGCAAATAACGCTTGCTGACTATTATGTCAGGAAAGTAAATTAACATGCGCAAATAAGTTGCTGTCGCTAACTGTAGGGAAGACAGTAGAAATATTCAGCGCATGGTTCGGTTCTGTGTAATTTACGGGACAAAATTCACTGCTGAATGATAACATTTTGTTGAATGACAGCCCTACAATAGTAAACTCGCAGTGGATTGACAGCCACCTCACGTGAGTGATGCGTGCATGAGGGCCCGAGTGGACAGGTTGCTCAGTTGGCTGGTGAGACACTAATAAACGGTCTTGTTCTCTGTCGCCTCCCTTCCCTCTATCCTCGGCTTGTAACGGGCTGTTAACTAGACGGTTGTAAGGTGGCGCTAAGTACCTAGCCACTACAAAGTTCATTCTCTCCACTGTCTCATGCCGATTGAGCTGTTGTTTAGTCTTTTCCAAGACACTTCCATACATTGCGGGACCGGAACTGTACATCAAATAATTTGTTGATTGTGCATACAACAGTGCTTGCTTTACATACACAGAAAAAACCACAAATCACAATCAATTCGGCTTATTCAAGTGGGTAATTACACCTTGCCAGGCATCAGTTTCTTCGAGGCCACATTGAAGAGAAGACTGCTCTGGTTACGTGAATCAAAAACGTGACTGCATCAAAGTTACAGTTGTTAATGTAGCCTAACTCTTCAGCAATGTTATGGAGGGAAAATAGAGCATGACCAATATGTGCTCGACATTCAATGAACAAAACACAGCGATTCAATTCACTGTTCCCTCAAAATGTTTTTCGCTTCCATTTGACTGAATGACCCGTTTCACAATCTGTCTCCTCATTGTGCTTCCAATCATGTAAACTGTTTTGGCTACAGACACCGTGGTCTAGGCAGTTAGGCAGTTATTTGTGGCCAAATCATTAGGCGAAGAGTTCCATCGACAACACGCTCTAAACTGATTTCAACCTAATTCCCATCTTCAGATTTAGTGAATAGCCGGCTAGCATAATGCAATGGCATTACAGCAGAATGCAAAACCCAACTACCACGTAATTAGTGGCGGTTGAGACAGCAGGAATGCTTTCCTAACAAATTAAACTACACAGAAGAGCACCAGGGTGGTTGTGAGTGGTAGTTGGTCGGGTGCCACCGTGAGGCTTGCTCTGGAGAAAGTGGGGACTGGTTTGGGTCTCATTTGGTTCTTTCACCACGATGAAGTTCTATCGTATACGGTTTTGATGTCATCGCAAGTAAGTTATAGCTGGTATTCAGAAGCGACATCTTAAATTTTTCATTGACATTTATCCAAATTTGAAACTCTGGCATACAAACACACGTCCTCAAAAGGGTTAACAGTGATAAAAATGTTAGGCAAACAATCCCTCAGGTTTGCAATACTCTGATTTCTTTGCGTTGCAACCCAAATTTGTTTGCTGAAAGACATCATCTCTGAAGTTGGGCTAAAGTGAAGCAGAATTTGTTTTAGATATATGTTCCAGGATCAAAACATAAGATTTCAGACTCTGCCAATTATATTTCCAGATAGAACAGCACTTCCTTTCGGATATCAAAGTGCCGTGATGCAACTCCCATAACAAAGCAATTTAAACGCAAATACGTCCGAGTAGAAATCAGGGTTGTGATGTGCTATGTTAGCGAAGAATTTAAAAATCTACCCTGCACGAACAATCCGTTGTCTTAAACGGCAGTTAACCAAGTTGAAAATAACCAACTTCAAGGCACAGGCTTGATTTCATGCAACTTCCATGTCAACATTTATTGCTAGATGACAAATTGAATGTTGGCGTTAACTGTTTAATGGAACATAAAATAACAAATCACCAAATACGTTGTTGAATATTAGGTTTTAAATGTGCTGTAAATAATCAGGATTGTGCTTAACTAAGACAATTTGCACTTCCCTAAGTGTCTCACGTTGATCCACCACAATTTCCAAAATTGAGAAACCGGAACTGCAAATCAAATGCTTTATTGATTGTGTACAATAAAAAAAATTACACTGATAAAACAGAAAATATCTTCAAGTGAGAGCCAGGTTCATCTTCATGGACGTAGAATTACACGTCCTCACGCCTCAGTTTCTTTGTCGCGACCTTGCACACAAGACTGTCTTGGTTACAAATAAAGCCCCGTGATTCGAAAAACTTGACTGCATCAACGTCACAGTTGTTCACGTAGCCTAACTCTTCAGCAATGGCCTAGAAGCAAAATATGTCAAAGTCAAAATGAATATGGCGCTAAGTCAATTGAACAAATTGAATCGAATGTACTTGCTACCTCAGTTTATTAGTCTCTTGTGTTCGGCTGAGGGGCCCCTCAGAATGCCATTCCACCTAATAGTGCATTGTTTCATACCACCACGTTTCCCAGTCACTTCAAAGCAAACCTAGTGTGTATTGTGCTGCATATCATGCAATCTGTGTAGGCCACAGCAGATGTAAATGTGGCAGAAACAAAGTTCTGTGAAGTTAGGAAATACGTTTTGATCAGATCTATCCGCATTTACTGCCCACCTGCAAGCAACTCACATCCATCCCTGTATGCGACAGGAATTATGCAGCGATACGATGGACAGAATTTCTAAGGTAATGCAAAACTGTCACACATATCTTCGGGTGCACAATTACCTGGGTTACTACCGACGTGTTGATAGATCGAATAGCAGTGTATCCCAACCTCATGGCATCTTCAATACTCTTCTTTTCCATTTGTAGAATCAGGCGGATTCGATCGTGGCCAGCCGTGGTGCAATGGAGTGCGCTTGCCAGCATTACGCGCAAGCACCTCTCGTCGCCTCGAATTGGGCCCGCCTGAAGTCCACAGACCTCGAAAAATTCCTCCATGAGGTCGTATTTTGGGTCGTCGACGCCAGCAACTGCGGGCACTCCCAACTCCATTAGAAACGTTACACCTGAGACATCAGGTAATAGGTCTTCCAGAGCACTGCCTGGTTCCATCTGAGTAAAGCCCGCCAAATACACCATGCCCGGAAGAGTTTCCAGTTGGTGCAGACGGCCTACCACAATCTGCTTCAATGTGGTTTCACTTAAATTGAGCAGTTTCTTTATGGTTCCTGCCTTCATGAACGATTCGACAACCACTTTGGTAATGGTGTCTCGGCACAGAGCCTCTACGTCCGAATTAGCAGGAAATGTTTGGCCAGGCCGGTATTCACGAATAAACAATCTGCCTTTATGGCCGATTGTCATCTGGCCTGTCGATTCGCCATTGGTGCACAACACATTCAGCAGTTCGCCAATACGCCGATGTTGGACAAAATGTGCCAAGTTGATTTGGAAGCCAAGCTTTCGTAAGTCGGCTACTATCAGAGCTGCCTAAAACACACGAAAAGCATTGTCCAGTCAGATGAAATCCACTGCCATTTGGACATTGTGCTTTATTTTTAGTAAGAAAACCGATTCAAGAGGAGTGAACTCAATGTCAGTTTCCTGAATGTTCATTCTGCCTGTCGTCCCACACGTCTGTAGATGGTGCACGAATAATATGCCTAATGAACAAAGGTCCTTTTTCTAAATGGTCGCAACTCTGAAAACCCAGTTACTTTCCACCAGCTATCGAGTTGACGTTTTGAGCAGCAAGCCGAAACGGTGGGTTGAAAAGTGGAGCACCTGTAAACAACGGATTAGCACTAGTCCCGTCTCCTACATTCAAACCAAACACCATTTGTCTGAGTGACAATAAGCAATGCATGACCCTGTTTGTTAGATGGATCACAAAACTCGAGTATTCGATGGCATTTTAAACTCCTAGTAAGGTACTTGTGAGAAGTGAATTGGAGGTGTCAAATTAACTGGAAAACATATTTAACACCACTGCAGGACATTTGCACGATTGGTTACGGTGTGTATTTCTCACCGCATCCACCTCCGCCCCACCCCCAATCCCTCCATTTCCATCCACATTTTCCGAGAAATCCTCCAGTTTTCAAGGAGTCTCACCGTGTATCTCGAAGGATTGCCCTCATTGCATTTTACTCTCTCATCCACTTCACAGGCTTGTCATTACATGACGCTTCATCTTTCCACCTGTCCATCCAGGTTACCTGCTGTTGTCGTTTCCTAGCAGTCTGCTACTGACGATAACTCACGAGCTCGGCGTCTACTTCGAGTTGAAGAAACGGATTGTTTTAGCAACAAGCGACAGAACCAAGATCATCGGACCAAGTGATTGTGAGAAATCTTAGTTTGCAATGCTACAGATTAAAACGGAATGTAATATTTCATGCAAGCACATTTTGCATAGCAGACCACTGCAGATGTGGTCTTAGGTGCTGCTTGCTTTACTTAAAACACGAACAACTAGGTGTGACTACACCACTCCTGCTCATTCTTCAGACGACCACTGTGGTGTGGTTTGATACAGAGTGCTGACCTGACCTTTGACACATCCACTCCTTCTCATTCCATCAAATGACACACTACCGATACAACAACAGCCAATGCAACCCCACCTCCGATCTACAGGTGACATTTGCACAAGCCACCTTACCGTGATTGAATCGCCTCCAATCAGGAAGAAGTCGTCGTCGTCGCGTGG